ATATATATATATCTGTGTGTGTTTGCAGCATGCAGTAGGTAGGTGGTAGGTAAGCTCCTGCTCATGTCTAATTACTGCGTTGACGCTTGTGTCAAACATGGGTATTGCTAATGGTAAATATGTCTGTTGTTCAGTACATCACCAGAGCTGGGCTTGGCCCGTTCTCTGCGATTCCGACCTGCGTCACGAAAGCCAGCAAGGTACCGGCAAAGATGCCTGGTCAGTTACGACTTTGCACGTCTGATTTTAGGGGCGGTTGTTCTTGCGCCTGTTTCTTGTATGGGAAAGCGAAAAACCATTATTGCATCATTGCCCAAACGGTGCCTCGAGTCTCGAGCACAGCCATCCCTCTCAGAAAGACATAGAATCACCCACGCAGTTCTTCACCGCTTCTAGGCGTCACGCGTTAACCGACTTGCGTCGAGCACCTACCAATACAACAGAATAAAATCATGATCTTGAAGGTTTACCTGGCATGGAAGAAAGACTTGACTCGACCCTTCCGGAGCACCTGTCACCATCGTGGCACTCATCGCCATGCCTGGCCCAAATTCCATCGAAGAAAGGGGCATGTTGCATGCAAAGTGCACAGGAGACGCAGGCTCAGAGCTTCTGGCGAGAGTGTGCGACGCCTTGCCTGCAACTTCACGCTTTTCCTGCGTACTGCAGCAGTCCGGGCCGTACATCATGGCAAGGTTTGCCTGGATGGAAGAAACCACAACTGGAATTTCCTCGCGACGATGCTCCCCGCTTCCAGCCAAGACGCTAGCAAGCCGTTGCTGATGGCAAAAAGTGCGCAGAGGCACACCCGGCCAATATCGGATCCTCAGCCGCACAGAAGTCTTAAGGTGTTCAAGCTCAACATCCAGCTCTGCCAATAGCTTCGAGAGAAGCCGTTGTGACCATGCGCAACAGCCTCGGTCCTCAAGACTTTCGGGACGCCGAGTGCCCTCTGCTGCCGGGTGTCCCCACAGGACGCAGGCTTCAGGTGAGCGCTGCCCCAGCATAAAAAGTGGAATGAAGACAAAACGCCTCAGTGTGTCTGCGACATTCCTGGAGCAACTGCACAGCAAAACACCACTCTGAAGCTCATGCTGATTCATCCGTCCAGCCCTGCTGGCACTTCTCCAAGTCAGAAAGGCAAGTTGCAACAAGACCAGGATCCATAATCGTTTCCTCGGGTGACTTCCGTCAGATAAAAACTGCTCGACACCACAATGTTCTCGCAGGCGATGTACAGGCGATGTAACTCGAAAACGGAATCTCGAATCGCAAGGCTTCGATTCTGGTCCATTCGGATCGGGAGCCCGGGGTTCGGGGTCTTGGCGCTAAAGAAGTTCGCGGCCAAAGATCGGGCCCACACATCTCCCAATCGGCCCAGCTATCGATCGCCCCACGACGTCGCCCACCTGTGAGGGCCAAATGCCCGTTTCTCCAGCTCGAATATAACGGCAACATAAATGATGACGCGTGCTAACGTCCTTGGCAAGTACTGGCTGACAGGTGTGCAACGTACACCGAGAAAGCTTGTTTGGTTTTTCGATCCTCTTCGGATCCGCCTGGCGCACGCGAAAGCAGACAATTTCAGTCCCACGCGCCTGGAATGTGCCGATGAGGAGGTTTCCATAAACCTGCGTGGCCTGGATAGAAAGCAAAAATCGCGCAAGCCTTGTCTTGGCTTCTGCATGCGTGCTCAAGAATCAGGCACAGGCTGTTCGACTGAAACGTACGGACAAGCTCGTGCAACCCCTTTCGGAGACAGCCAGCTAATGAACGATGGTGTCGACAACGTCAGTCCGACAAGAGCATTTTCACAATGGAGCCCCGAGACTTGCTCCCTGTCCGCCTTAGCGAACGGACTGCTGGCACTGGGCTCCCAGTGCACCATCACACCCGGAAACACTGTCCTTGGATGGTGCAAACACGACGAGCTCAGGAGGTGCCGCAAATGATGCCGTGTTCTGGTCCACGCTACAAGCAGCTCGGCCGTCTTGGTGACTGGGCAGTTTTGGATCTACTACTGCATATTGAAGTTGCGGGTGCCTCCGGTACTGAGTTACTTCGTTTTTGCATTGCGCAACGCTTCGGGAAACCGAGCCATCATGTTGTCCAAGAAGCATGGTGACCATGAAGACGGAGCACACGTTCACTGCCTCTGCTGGCAGGGAAGAGGTTGCGGCTGACAGCTCCCGGCAGCGTGGACGGCCACGCGCACCAAGTTTTCCAGCTGCTGGAGTTATGCAATGTTGGTGAAGCAGGAAGGCCACCCAAGACATGCGTGACACAGCTGTCCTGCCTGAGGCCAAATTTCTCCAAAGATGGGCACCAACCTCTTCCAGATCTGAGCCCAGCTAGCTTTGCTGAAGTCCTCAGCAGAGCAGGCTATGGCATATGGACAGACACGGAGGCCACTTGATTGTGACGCATCTTCGGGGGCCGGCAAGTGTCCGATGTGGAGCTTTGCTCGACTTCTGGGAAAGAGATCTCCCTTCCGGAGGCCTGGGCATTCGGCAAGACTCATTCGCAATCAAAGTTACAGAGCCGGCACAGGACAGACTTCACCGTCCGCCCAATTAACGAGTAGTATGCTGGTTTGATCCGTGTCAGCTAGTCTAGACCTAACTCCGAGCAGCTGAAGGCATTCATCGTCCATCTTCGCCATGCGGCCTCAGAAGGAGTCGCTCGCTGCTGCTCCAGCATGGCGATGGCTTCTGCAGTCTCCTGTCTATGGAGTTTCCCTTCAATATCCGCTGACACCAACCGACTCAGAATGCCTACATCGACCCAATGCACATTGCAAAGATTTTGGTGCATATCTAATGATTCAATGAGCCCCCACCACGCCACATGCACAGAGAGAGAGAGAGACGGTTATATAGATCTTATGTGTATGTGCATGTGTGCACATATATATATATATGTGTGTGTATGCATATATGTATGTATATATATATATATGTGTGTGTGTGTGTCTGTGTGTTCGCGTACTTGTATGTATGCATGTAGGCATGTTGGTATGTATGTAGGCATGTATGTAGGTCCAATGTAATGTAGGTATGTAGGTATGTGAATACAAACATATATAACCAACTAACTGCCTGTATCTATATCTTATTTGCATATGTGCGTGTTGTGTGCGTGCCTTCATGCATGCATGTATACCCTACAATCCTCTCGAAGTTCTTGCTTCCTGGAACCGAAACACTGTATGTATCCAATCTTTCGAAGGATTGTTTGGTCTGTGGGGTGCAAGCAAGGGTCTGTTCCGGACGAATGTTTACATGGGCAACGCGCTATCTGTCAAACATCAACACAACGCAGAGAAAAGTTTGGGTGCAAAGTTTTTGGTGACCGAACTTCGTGTTGATTTGGCCTTTGGCCTGGCGCAAGTTCATCTGGGGCTTTGAAGATGGATGGTCGTCAACCCCAGTTTGTCTCTTTTGCGAAGCTACCGGCACTGGTCGCAGAAAAGATTTACTCTTTGAGCACATTGGTGACCAAGCTTTGTGACGAACGACAATATTTCGCGACACTTTGGAATGGATGATGGCAAAACTAAACCTCAACAAGCGTTGATCCATGGTGGACAGCAGACTTGGTTTCTTTTAACAAGTCCTAGATATAATCTTGTGATGTCCAAACGTTTTATTTAGGTCCCCTGCTCCTGCTTCCGAACTCCGGCATCGATGTTGTTCGTTCATGTGCCATGCACAATGTCAGCCTGGGGTTGCTGTTTACGGCAAACGGTAGCTCACTGTTTCTTGTCATGCAGGGACAACTTTCGACTTTGTTTGATTTCGTTAAAATAATTCGAACGAGATTGGGCGAACAACCAAAAAACACACTGGCAAAGTCAGGCTGGTATGGGAACCCTGCTCGAGACTTGGGCGTTCCTTTCAGCAGAGCTCATGCAGACTTCAAGGTGTGGGCAAAGGGAAGAAAGATTCGTTCGTACCAGCGGAACTTGCGATGTGTTTTAGAGCCTCTGCATAACTGGCTGCTGTTTTCAATAGCGACATAATATCATGCAAGGTTTTAGTTTAATGTAGCTTCTCCCCTGAGTATGAATAACAAGTCATGAAAAACTGTTGATCTGAGAATTCCTTCGACGAGTTGCAAAGCTTTCAATGGCCGCATCGTGCTGGGGTACCCCGCTGATGTATCAAGGCTTGCTTCGACATGCACCCTTGCCAGGCGCCATTTTGGGCGTTGGTTGGAGGCGCAGGTTCGAACTAGTCGTTCTACTTGGCCAAACGATCCGAAGATTCCATTGCAAGCTGCGGGGATGAAGCTCAGAGGGAAGTTTATGCTTCTTCGGAAGGTCTTTGTCTTAACGAGTGCAGTCAAGTCGTGATTCAAAGGACGGCGTTGGCACGATGGTTCGGGCTGACCGAGAGGGCTTCTAGATTCTTGACACAGAACCAGGCCAATTCGATTTATTCTGAACGCCCTTTATCAACGCCCACCTGGAACTCACTCGAAGCTCCCGCAGGCAATAAAGACTAATATTGTGTTAAGTTTCTGGTTTCCTTTTTTAGGCTGGCTCGGGCTCCCAAACCATACTTGAATCATACTTGTGCACACTTCCCCTGGAAGGCAATGCGAGCTGACTTGGGCCGTCAATCCGAAATTGCGCACGCCCGAGCACGAGTTGTTGGAGACCCGAAGGAAAAAGCTGCTCGGATCAACTATTTTGCTTCCTTGTATCGCCAAAGAATTTTAAGACGGGATCTCGTAGTTTCGCAGCCAAGGACACAACACAAGATATCGTCATTGTTTTACGGACGAGGACTCTATGAGGTGGGTCAAGGGCTTGGCCCGTGCAGCAAACCCTGAGAGTCTTGAAGCAATTGTTATGCGCATGAATCAGAAACGTGTTCAGTCGATTAGGGCGAAGAAGCGGACTTTGCTGGGTCGGAACTCTGCCCCAAAGAGGACTGCTCGAGACAATTTGTCGACGACAAGATGCCATTACTGCATCACCGCTGGCCCCCCTCTACTAAAGCTGAATCATTCCTTGTGGGATAAACAGATTGAGTTTTGAGGGTCCTTGGTCAATCAGTACGGTTCTGGGTATTTCGAAATTCGGATTTCCAAGGGTCACCACACATATGCACATGATTTTCCCTGGTATATTTATTTTTATATATATATATATGTATGTATGTATGTACCTGTGCGTGTGTGTATGCCTGGATACGTGCATAAACGGCACTTAGAACTGCATGCGGTCTGTCTGTCTGTCTGTCTGTCGTCTGTGTCTATTTTTGTGTATGCATATACATACAACACTTTTGACTCTATGTGTCCATGTACATATAACATGGGTATTTAGTTTTGGATACGAGTGCAGAAGGCAATCTCGCAACGCAGGGTTTCCCCAAAGCGAGCGCGAGAGAAAGCGAGAGACCGCTACATGCAAAGCAACAGATGCGCTGCTGCCCTAGCCGAAGAGGTCCGGAAGTCGGTACCGGAGGTACACGAAATAGACCCAACATGAGGTGATTGTTTGCAGGATGCATAGAGCCTCAGAAGTCAAGTTCCGGGGAATTTGCAAGACGCAATGCCGCGGCAATGATGCATCTGCTGGATATTCTGGGTTTCTAGCCCACAGGAGCAGGGCAACCTCCATGCCAGAACGTGCAGAGTCGCCGCTTTCTCGATTCATCGCCTTGTCGATGACTGCAGAAAAGTACAAGAGTCTGCGCCTAAGCCCTCCGGAAGAACACGGAAGCTCATGCAAGAACATGGCAGAGCGTGCAAAGCAGGTCAGGCAAGGCAAGCTAAGCTCGCCAGGCGGCATGCTGCACAGCCTGTATCAGAAGCGAAATAAAGAAACTCACCTTGGCTTCAAAAAACTGCAGATTGTAGCAGCGGTGGACGTGACGTGCATAGAAGCTGGGACTGCGAGGTCCCAGATTCCGGGGCTCGCATCCTCGGCCACATTACTGATTGTGAGTCCCGATTGCGCAAGCCCAGCGGCTAAACCGGACATACCCAAGCCAAGCATGACCGCTGCAGACATCTCAGAGGTCATCGAACCTTCAGGCAGAGTTCTACCCATGCTGGCAGGGACTATCAAGCACAAGAGTCACGCCTAACCAGAAGTCCCGGCTTCAACGAGGTAGGTGTGAGTCTACACACTGCCCTCTCGCCACGCCTGCAACCCCAAAGACTCCAGTCTGAAGGATACTGTTCGACAGGGCCAAGACCTGGTCGAGGACGGGATCGGCAATGCTGCGCGATGCAGAGATGGCATCACTGAGTTCTGAAGGGCGACTAAGGCCACGACGGCGATGACAACTAACATCGGCACCTTTCAGATGCAAGACGTGCCAAAATGTGCCAACCATGCCCATGCACAGTGTCTTCGCGAAGTGACTTGCATTGGCCCTGCTGCTCTGTCCCAAGGCTGCCGCATACCATCCCGTCGCACTGGGCCCAGACGATGCCCACGTCAAGCCTCGGTCCCATCATCGCCATCATGAGCCTGCTTTATTTCTGAAAGAGCCGCGCGGCTTAAGAGCACACCAGTGGTAGCGTGTGGTAGCCAGATCATGGCTAAGTCCATATCTTTTCAAGATTGAACGTCGCAGTACCATTTGCTTACTACTGTCGCTCATGTTTTTTTGACACGAACACTCGAACAAGCCTGGCAAGGTCTGTTTTATGGTTGGTGTCTGTTGTTGTCGCCTGTGTGCGTGCTTCCGTTCTTGCTGTTCAGGCTTCGTTATGACTCTTCCGGCTGTCGTCGTCGCGTCCTTGTTTGCTGCTACTTGTTCGCGATGCCAGTGCGACGATGAGGGTTCAAAAACCTCGGCTCTCTCATGAATCCCCATATGTTCAGCAGACGCACGGGGTTTGGCTGCGGCATCCTTAAAGTCCATCAGAAGCCACCAAGCTGAGGTCTGGTCCAAAGAAGGCCGAGCAAACCAGAACTTGCGATATAAGCGCAGTGCCCATTCCTGCAAGTCAGAGCATATGACAAGCAAGGCAAATTCCAGATGCACATGTAAGTACTTGCACCTGTATGCGAGTATGGATGTGTGTGTGTGTACTATCACATCTGTCAGTGTGTTGTGTGTGAAGATCGGCTCAGTAGGAGGGATGACTGCATGAACAACTCAGCCCAGTTGCGCTTGTTCACGGAGATACCGTCTCCTGCGCACGACGAAAAAACATTGCAGAGCGCTAATTGCACCATGGCTCACAATCTCTTTGCGTCTGAATGCGGTGCATCCTCTGCAAGTCAGCCAGATCTGGGAAGAGCAAAGGCATAGGGAATATGTCATCATGCCTCGGCTGTGACATGGTTAACGGCAGAAATGCAAGCACAAAAGGTGGAGATGGAGCCGACAGTATGGGGACAGCATGGCAGATGACAGATTGTGAGTTGACACCCGCGATCAAACACAACCTGAGGCCATCTTCCCGGTACATCCGGGGGGTCTAATTGCTAGCAGCCAGGAGACAGCTGCAATTGAGAGAAGTACAAGTATCATACATAGTTGTCCGACATTCGCTCCGTGGCAAGTCAGGGCTGCCACGTCTACGCCGGACATGCCAGTTCGCACAGAAAGTGTTGCACCCTTTGATGCTGCCGAGAATGCTCGTAAAAGGAAAGTCCAGGTCCTTAAACGGATACCTGCCACAGTATCAGAAATTGCTTGACCACTTCAAAAACCGCACAATCCGCACAGGGCACAGCGCGTGTCGTGTGGCACAGTAATGGGACAAGCAGACCGTCGCCTAGAGAGTCGGTTGTTCCGAGATACAAGCTGTTCGCAAAACCCTGCTACTCTTCGTCGCGACCCCAACCCACGACAAAAAGCACCAAGTGAGACGTGTCTGGATGTATGTTTTTATTCCGAATTTCCTCACCAGACATACTTGCACTGTGTTCAATCCTGATTTTCATTCTCTGCTTGCCTATAATTTGGTTGGAAGTATGCCATCGGCGCATACGATCACCGTACAGGGAAACCAATGAGCAGAATCCCATGCAGGCAGCAACAGGGCATCGGAACCAACGACAGAAGGCAGCCGAAAGCATAAATGCCCGCAGACTGGCGAGACTGCGTAGAACTGCTTCACTTTGAGACTATACTCCCACGTGACTCAGCAAAAACCGAATCAAGCTGAGGAGCTCTTTGAAGTATGGCTGCACGTTTAGAAGGCAGTTGTACGGCAGCAGGGTGCAGATGCCCAGGTACATTAACGCCAGCTGCGCGCGGCTGTAGAGCATCCTTAGTCTACGGTCAGAGAGATCGAAGACGCTCCGCCGTTGCGCTGCTGTGAGGTTCAGAGCCGAGAGCAGGAAATCTGAATGCCCAAGCCCGTGCCGCATGAGAAATTCCCGCACCCAAGTCGGATCCAGCACCCATGCTACTTTCGATCATGGGCGAAGGAACTCTATATGCATAGTTAGACAGGTAGATGCATGCACACATACATGCATACA